AACTTTGACGACTCTCCACCAGTGAAAGGAGAGCCATCTGTTTGTCTGCTACCTCACCCTGAACCTGGGCCTGGACCTGTTACCTCTCCACCAGTGCCATGAGATCCATCTGTTTGTTTACTGCCTTGCCTGAACCAAGGCTTAGGCCTGTGCCCCTACACTATTGTGGCTCATCCACAGTGTGGGCTCAGCATAACTGTTGAGTAAGCCTGATCATAGGCCTGAGCCCCTGGACTATTGTGGCCTGTCCACAGTGAGGGCTTGGCATAGTTAACTGTTGACTTGCCTCTACCATAGTCCTGAGTCCCTGGACTTAGTGACTCTGGCATGGAGTGACCAGAGGCTTGAGCCCCAAACTCATGGTACAGCTGGTTCCCCAGGACAGATTGAACAGAGGTGTAGTGAACTGGAGTGACCCAGATGGGAAGGAGCCCCTCCCAGAGCCCCCAGTGGGCTACATTGTATATCCAATAAGAACATCTACACTTGTGCTCTATTTAGACAGTGGAATTTGGGGCCAAAACTTGGTAGGATCTGGCAGGATCCAAGTGCTACATATAGATTTTTGTGGAATCCTTGCACTTATATGTGTTGTGGTCTCAATTTGTTTTTCATGGCAAAAAGCATCTAGATTTATTATCTCTTAGGTTGTGAGGGACTCAAATTATCAGGATCTAGCAAATCCAGCTTTTATGCATAAACATTGTTCTCCACCGTATCTATTGAGCTTTGTTTTTAGGACATTTCCTGAATCGATCTAATCTGATTTTATTGGAGGAAGGAAGATCAAATTGCTATGAATTCTCCCTAATCCTATCACACACTAAACCACCTCATTCATAGCAACTCTACAAATGCATCCTTCCCCATTTTCTGAGTTACTTAGCAACAACCAACCCTCCCCCTTTCACTTCCCTCCCTCCATCCTATCTATTTTTTACCCTCTGGAATCACGATTTTCAGGCTGTTAAAAACAATGAGGATGCTCAGCATTGGAGGGGGAGCTTTTTCTTGCCAGATCCTTCTTGCTTCCAGAATGAAAACCCGGGTTGCCTGCATGTTTGTAATCAAAGGTTAAAAAGCACTTCGGCTAACACCACGCATGTGTTAATCTGTGCTGCAGCAGTGTGCATCATTTCCACTTTGACCTCAGAGTTAATCTGCATTCAGGCAGAAGCTCCATTGCTTGCTTTCTCCCCACCCCCACCCCCTTTCATCTCTTCCTTTCCCTTTCTCCTATGCTGATGGATTGTGTTGCCTGTGTACCGGTGTCTGTGTGAGTATGTGCTTGTGTATGAGTGTGTTTCTCCCTACTTTGTCTGCATTTGTTGTGTGTGTTTTCCCTCCCTCCGCCCCTTTTTTTCTTCCAATTATATTATTTCTCTAGATTTGGAAGCTGCTGCCTAAGCTGACTTTTTTATTGTAGCTGCAAAGGGCTTGTACAGACCTAATTTATGTTCCCTCTGAATATTAATTTCTGCAGCAGGGTGTAATGTGCCATCCCATTGATGGGACCTGGTGGAGGGAAACCACCAGCAAAGTAAACATAAAAAAAGAAAGGGATATATCCATCTGCAACCAGGAGAAAAAGGGACAGGGGGAGGGAAGAAAAAGAGAGATGAGTCTTCCATATCCAACAAGCCTGGGAAGCACTGCACTCTCGAATCCTGCATTTTCTCTGAAAATGATGGTGTGGGCACTTGTGCTTTTCTCCCTCATCCAGTGGTAAGATGTTTTTCTGCTTGTTTGCTGTGGTGGGGGAAAGGGAGGAATTGGAGGGGATGAAGATACTGTTTGCAAATGCACAGAGCTGTTGTGAGAATGCTGATGGTTTAGATGGTAGCACTGACTCCATCTATCTCCTTTGCGGCCGGGATCTTGTTATGTTTTATTGGCTTCCAACAAGAAGATTGGGCAGGCTAAGTGAAGGGTCAAGACTGATTTTTTTTTGTGTCAAATTTGATGCCATGTTGACAAAGCCTTTCCTCTTTGGTTTAAGGTTTGTTACAGTGAATGAAGTTAAAATAGCCGTGTATTCTGTGAGGAATGTCATTGTATTCACCCTTTCTTCCTCCCAAGCAGCCACATCATGGCTGTGCATGGGCTTGTATTTACAAAACCCTGTATTTACATTTTTTCTGTACCAAGGTAACAAAACCAGTGCAAAGAATCAGGACCAAGGACAGAGATCCACATTATTATGTAAACCTCTCTGGCTTGAGGAAGCCAGGGCAGATCTGATTTTCAGTTATTGATGATATTTGGAGCCGAGGCAGTCAGCTTTGGGATGTAATATCAGGGTATATGTTATCCATATAGTCACACATCTCAGGGAAATGTTTACACTAGCATAATAACTGGTGTATTCTTCACACATAGATACTGACATGGATGGTACAGAAGATCTATGCTTGCTGTGGGCGTGTGTTAGTAATAGATAGAAAGAAAAGGAAACAAATCTGATAGTAATAGAGGAAAAATAGGGAGTGTATGTGTGGGGGTGAAATA